ATCTAATGTGGTTCCTTGTCTACACAGATGTGGACGAGCCAAGTTTTCACGAGCACTGCAATTTTACAGGCATTCGTCTCAAGGTATTTCTAGGGATCCTCGAGAAATCAAAATCTGGGTCTTCACAAGCACCGCAACTTTACATGCTTTGGAGTTTGTGCATCTTACGATACATTTTACAAAATCTTTGAAAAAAATGCAAGCAGTTATGATCAAAAGACCCGTCCCTTGATAGATCATAGAACTATCAATTTGCCTAGTAATTCCAGACCCTATTTTGTCATGCAAATTTTATGTGTCAGATTGAGAAGTGGGAACTGTTGGAGTCGATGAAAATTTTTGGGCCTTCTCTATGCTTCAGTGGCCTTGGACGCGAAATTTCGTCTTGCTAGTCTTAATGGTTGAAACTGACAAAAGTTTGGATTAGATTGTTGATAACAAACATCAATCTCACGGTTGACATTAAACTACTTGAATTCAATGGTAACTGTCTCGTGATCTTACCGCTCCATGAAATTGTCTTCCAAATCGTGACATGTCCCATGATCTTATTTTCAAATGGTATTTGTTCCCTCCAAACATGCCCTTCAAGCGAATCCTTGCCAATTATTCTAATGTTTCCCAATTGCTTCGTCTCGAACCGGTCACTGTACCTATATGCTTCTCGTGCTTTCAATGAGTTCAAATGGCATTCTGATGTTCGCCAATTGCCAATATATATGTCGATCGTTGCTGGTAGCTCATTGTTATGCATCGATAACTGAATACATGCCACTAATGTATATCGATACCGATCAACAAAATATCGACCTCTACGGTTGTTGACAAGATATGCATAGTAATACTCACGCGACTGCTCAGGCTCACGTGTCAAGCACGTGCTCGCTCATGTCGACGACCCGATCATTTTTAGGTGTAAACAGAGATACTCAGACTTTTCGGTCGCAGCGATCTCTACAGAGGCACGAGAGCCGCCTCCACCCACATGCATCCGCGCGATCCCTAAAGTTACGCCGACCGGGACGACGCCACGATCGGACTACCGGACCGATCCATCGCGCGTCCAAATCAAGAGAACACCTCGACCATCCAACTAAACCTCTTTCCCGGAATCACACTTTTATTTGCAGCCGCACCATGTGCAATTGTGCATGCCCCCCCCACCTACCTAAACTACGCGCGCGGCTCCATCGGTAGAGAACTAGAACCGACCCCCGAGAAGGTCAATACCGATTTTACGAAACAGCCCCGCAAGAATCCAATAATATACCAATAAAAGGACAAAAACGTCGGGGCTTCTTAGAAATTCGGTCCACCCCACCCCCGTCAGTCTTCCAACTTCGAGACCATCAATCACCAGCATCGTGATCGACGCCGGCCAAGCCCCCGCCCCCCCCCCTTACTTCTGCATTATTTCGATTTCCTACCCCCGAAAAATCGATCTTATTCTAATTCTGTCCCCACATGCAGGTGGCGCCACCGGGGGACCGATCGGGCATTTGGCGGAGCCCCGGGCCAACGCTCGCCCGACAAACGGCTAATTTCCCCAGGTAGGGGGGTAGGGGGTTCCGCATGTCGTTTCGCCGTCTCGGCGCCAAAATCTCGGGCGCGATTTCTCGCGACCCGGTGCATGTTATCGCGACGAAGAGCGAGCGGTTTCAAGGGGGTTTTTTTTAGTCGTTCCACGTGGGGGAGGGAGCATTCACGAGGAGGGGGGGCGACGTACCGAAGGGGGGGGGGGAACCCCACTGCTTGCTGGAGGCGCCGCTAAGCTAAAGCTTAAGCTATTATGGGAATTTTTACTTTTGTTAAGGACAGCTTTTTGATTGATTCTATCCCGTCAGAGAATGCAATTGGGTTATTTATAACTTAGCATTGATTTTTAACTTTTTCTTTTATTGGGAAGTAAGCTCCTTCTTCTTTTTCTTTTGCCTTTTGTTATGCCACGAAAGAACCCCGAATTGGTACGCTCGCACCAAGTTCGCCCTAAAGCTAATTTTTGTGTCGTGGAAACTCCTGCACCGATACACCTGTACCGTATCTTATCCCAAACTGGTGCAGCTGTGGCACATTTTGCCCTGAATTATGGTTACACAAGAATAATAGAGGGGATCCTCCTCGTTGGACTCTACCAGCCGGCTAGTGTATTAGGGAACCTATGGGGATACGCAAATAGCACAAAAGGATGATGTCCACATTCCCTTTCAAGCTTCCTTCCTGAAGATCAGAGGAAAGGGCAGCTAAGAATAGCGTGAGTCCTGTTTGAGAATAGAATGGAGGTCCAGGGTTTACCCCCAAATTATGGCAAGTACGAGATTTTTGTGGTAAATGCGATACGGAAGTATCGGTTTTGGAGAATGATTTTTTTTGGGATAAATGGGGCACGAATGTACAAATTTGGCGTTTTTTGTTTGAATGTGCACTCAATTGGGCTAAATGTGGCGTGGATGTATTGGTTTGGAATTTTTTGTGGCATAAAAGTTAATTTGGGGGTAAATATGATAATAATGACTCAGGAGCGAGCGAGGGTAGCCCTTGCCCCACTCAGGCGAGGGCGGCCCTTGCCGGATCTGGCAAGGGCGGCCCTCGCCCAATGCCGGTGAGGGTGGCCCTCGCCGGAAAGGAAAAAAAAAAAGAAAAAGCAAAAAAGACGAAAATGCCCATGGACTAAAGTACATTGGGGTAAATGTGTCACAAATAGCATAGTTTGGAGTTTTTGGTGTCACAAAAAAAAGTTCAAGATAAATGTGTCATAGGTGACATAGTTTTGGATTTTTGGTGATCTTTTTTCAATTTTTTTTAACGAATTCTCGAGGTAAGTCCCATTTTTGTAGTGATGATTGGTAGCGCTGAAAGCGACCACAGTGATGATGGTGTCTCCTCCAACGGTTCAAGGACCATGAGGGGGTTCATCATGACTGTCCCAGTGCCACTGACTCGGTACAGCTCACCTTGTGATAAAAAAAAGGAAGGCTTCGCACTGAACAAAGGCGCTGGCCTCCCTTTGCTCGCTGCTACTTCAATGACAAGGCCAAAAGAGATTTCGCCCGTATAACCCCACTTCCACCAGAATGATTAACTCGCTAAAAAGACCTTAATGCTCTTCTCAATTAGCCACTTGACAAGCGTCCCCCGGGACGCGGGATTGAAAATGATAAAGTATCGAGACCCGTCGAGCGGGACCGTTCGTGGAAAAAGCTGGTTTCTCATTTGCGGTACATATTTGGTGATGATCGTTGAACGTGTTCCTCCTTCGAATTTTGCTTCAGTTATCTTCCAATGATCTCCTCCTTCGGAAACAAACGCTAGTTTCTCTTTTGCTCTTGTGGGTCGCTGTCCTTTTTTTCTTTCTTTCTTTCTTTCTTTTTTGCATGTCCATTTTAATTAAGTTGGGAGGCCACGGTCACAGAATAAAATCGAAGTTTATTTATTGGTTAAATTTGAAGTTGGAAGCACCTCAACAATAAGGTCGCCTTCGAATTTCCATGAACCGTATTTCGCGCTTTCTTGGGTCCAATGCAAAAGTGTTTTGCGTGATTGTCGCGTTACGATCCGGTATAATAAACCAGTTACGTCGCCTGCGAAGCTTTCTTTTCAAATTTCAAGTTCCCCAGTCGATTAGCTCGTTTCTTTAATATAACTCTAATATGATAGACCCAATGGAAAAAAAAAAATCCCCTCGAATCTGACGAAAATAATGTGGTTTTATTGAACAAAAATTCTATGCTAGTTTGGACATGAGTGTTAAATTGAAAGTGTTGATTGGGCTATATATTTTTTTATCAGTGAACTACGTACGCATATAGTACTCGTACTTATATTTAGTTAAGTTTGCATGAGGGTAATATTTATAACTTGCGATCTACTAATAAAAGGTTTGATGATTAGGGCAAGTTTCTTTCAAATAGGATATAACAAAAATATAATTCTCGTAATTAATCTTATATTAGATGGTCAATACTATAAAGGGTGATCGATTCCAAGATAGATAAGTTTCGGATCAACAACCCATACCCTACCACTACCATTTTAGAGTCCATTCCCATATAAACTAGTCCGACATTGAATCGGCCCGGTTCAAAGGCCTACTCGGAAACTGAGCTCGACTTCAAGTAATATAATTATTATCTTCAAAAACTATACTATGTAAATAATTTTGTGACGTATTGGTTAATACTGTGGTTAAAGCATCGATGGTTTTCCTAACCTTCCCAAATTCGAAATCCATCTTTAATATATCTATCTTTTTTTTCTAAAACAAAGTAAAGAAAAAAAGGCGTAAAACCAAGGATCAAAACCGGCCAAAACCAGTTCCCAAATTTTTTACTCCGGAACCTACTTGATCCCCATGTTGAAACAGCTTGGAACGGATTAAACAAAGTCGGTTCGGTTCACTGTATCACTCTAACTCTCAAATCATTTTACTTTTACTCTGCGTTTTTTCCAAGTAAGAAGATTAGCCAATAGGGCAAATCCCCGTTGCTCAGTCCTAATCGACGATAGCCAAGTGTACGGTTTCTTTGACATTAGATGTGACTGTTCATCCTACATCTCGCGATAAATTGCCTGCTAGCCTAGCTATGAACTATGGGGAATTTCTCCCAAAATATATGCACATGTACTCTCTCTCTCTCTCTCTCTCTCTCTCTCTCTCTTCTTTCTCTTTTCTCTTCTCTCTCTCTCCCTTTTTCTTTTTCTATTTTGTCCAGTTATCAACCACACTCCACTCCACTCCACTCCACTCCCCAAGACCCTGTACCTCCTTTTTGCCTTTTTCCTTCCACACCATGTCCTGTTCTCTCTCTCTCTCCATGCTTTCTTCACACCCCCCCCCCCCAATTTTCGCCCTGCACCTCCATTTTCTCCGCTTTTCTCTCCCCCCCCCCCCCCCCTCTCTCTCTCTCTCTCCATTAACATCGACCGGGGCTTTCCACTTTCTGGCGTGGGAGAAAAGGAGGTAAAGCTCTGTGAACCCCCCCCAGGTTTTTGCGCATTCTTCTTCTCGCTCGCTCGCTCGCTCCAACGGTCAAAATCTTCCTCTTCTTTCTCCGTTCCTTCAATTGTCTGAATTTCTGGTTCGAGATGGTTCCTTTAGTCTTGTTAGTCCTCCTGCTGTGTAGCTCCGGCGTTGTCGTGTCCTCTTTGAACACCGAGGGCTATGCTCTGCTTTCGTTCAAGCAGTCCGTTTATGAAGACCCAGAAGGGTCTCTCGGTAACTGGAACTCCTCTGATGAGAACCCTTGTTCTTGGAATGGGGTCACCTGCAAAGAGGGAAAAGTCGTGTCCGTGAGCATTCCCAAGAAAAGGCTTTATGGGCTTCTGCCTTCTGCACTTGGGTCGCTCTCTGACCTTCGCCACGTTAACTTGAGGAACAATAAGTTGTTTGGGAGCTTACCCTCTGAGCTCTTTCAAGCTCAGGGCCTACAGAGTTTGGTGCTGTATGGGAATTCCTTATCTGGGTCCCTGCCAAATGACATTGGCAAGCTCGGGTACCTCCAGACTCTTGATCTGTCTCAGAATATGTTCAATGGCTCTATACCCATTTCCATTGTTCAATGCAAGAGACTCAAGACCCTTGATCTCAGGCAAAACAATTTCACCGGCTCGCTTCCGATTGGGTTTGGGGTCAATTTAGTTGCTCTTGAAAAACTTGATCTTTCGTTCAATAGGTTCAATGGGTCAATTCCTAGTGATATGGGGAATTTGTCCAACTTACAAGGAACTGTTGATTTGTCTCACAATCTGTTTGGTGGTTCTATCCCGGCTAGCCTCGGAAATCTTCCAGAGAAGGTTTATATTGATCTGACCTACAACAATTTAAGTGGTCCAATACCCCAAAATGGTGCTCTTATGAATCGAGGACCAACTGCGTTTATTGGAAATCCTGGGCTTTGTGGCCCCCCATTGAAGAATCCATGTTCTTCGGGTACTACAGGTGCATCTTCTCCTGCATCGTATCCCTATTTGCCAAGTAATTACCCACCTCAGTCAGATGACAGTGCAAGGAGCAGCGGAAAAGCTAGAGGGTTGAGCAAGAGTGCTATAACTGCAATAGTAGTTGGTGACGTGGTTGGAATTTGTGTTGTTGGGCTGCTATTTTCGTATTGTTATTCGAGGATTTGTGTACGCAGTCGCACCAAAGATGATAATGTCTATGGATTTGAGAAGGGCCGGAGGAGAAGGAAAGAGTGCTTGTGCTTCAGGAAAGATGAATCTGAAACTTTGTCTGAACATGTCGAGCAATACGATCTTGTGCCGTTGGATTCTCAGGTAGCTTTCGATCTGGATGAGTTGCTTAAAGCATCGGCTTTTGTTTTAGGGAAGAGTGGAATTGGGATTGTATACAAAGTTGTGCTCGAAGATGGGCTGACCCTTGCTGTGAGAAGGTTGGGTGAGGGAGGGTCTCAAAGGTTCAAGGAATTTCAGACGGAGGTAGAAGCAATAGGGAAGTTAAGACATCCCAATATTGTAACTCTTAGGGCATACTATTGGTCTGTGGATGAAAAGCTGCTTATTTATGACTACATTTCTAATGGAAGTCTTGCCAGTGCACTTCACGGTAAAATTCTGTCTTTTATTGTTTCACGATGCAAATTCAGTCAAGTTAACTTCAATTTCTTAAAAGCTTCCTGATACTGACTCTGTCCTATTTTTCCTTACTGCTTTTTCTCTACATGCTTTATTGATCATCAGGAAAAGCTGGATTGGTGTCTTTCACGCCCTTGCCATGGTCTCTGCGATTGAGAATCATGAAAGGAATAGCGAAAGGTTTGGTCTATCTTCATGAATTCAGCCCCAAAAAGTATGTTCATGGAGACTTGAAGCCAAACAATATACTTCTTGACCAAATTATGGAGCCCCACATATCCGATTTTGGGCTTGGGCGTCTTGCCAATATCGCGGGAGGCTCTCCTACCCTACAATCTAACAGGATGGCAAGCGAGAAGCCACCAGAAAGAATCCAAAAGAGTACGTCCTCAGAAGTTTCTACAATTATCTCATCAGCAAACTTGGGATCGAACTACCAGGCTCCTGAAGCATTGAAAGTCGTGAAACCGTCGCAGAAGTGGGACGTCTTCTCTTTCGGGGTCATCTTACTGGAGATGATCACGGGAAGGTATCCTATCGTTCAGGTGGGAACTGCGGAAATGAACCTGGTCCATTGGATCCAGTTGTGCATCGAAGAGAAGAAACCACTTTCGGATGTCCTAGACCCGTACTTAGCTGAAGACGCAGATAAGGAGGAGGAGATAATAACGGTTTTGAAGATTGCGATGGCATGTGTCCATAGCAGCCCCGAAAGAAGACCCGCAATGAGGCACGTCTCTGATGCTCTTGATAGATTGGCCATACCAACTGATTGATATATTATTCACCCGGCCGAAAAGCTTAACCTGAATGATCAGTGAAGCTTGTTGTCTCAACCGGACGATTTCATGATGAGCTCCTGTTTGACAATAGAACCGAGAACATCCCTTGCTTTGGAACGTGAGCGTAAGAAATTTTTTGCTGGTGTTCTGCCTGAGGGGGCTTCAAATCAAGACCTGGACCGCCTGGACCACTGTAAAATTATTCGTTTTATTTACCGTCTTTGCATGAGGTAATGGGGGCTGTAGTGTAGGTAGCTCAGCTAGGTCAGGCCATCATCCTGCTAGAGATTGCAATTTGTTTCTGAATGGCTTGGTTGTTTCTGCTGCACGTGATTGCGAAACCCTCCTTGTTTCTCTTGTTTGTTTCTCCTTGTTTTCAAGAATCTGTATGTTCATCCATTGACTGTGTCGTCTGGTTTCTGGTCATTTTTCTGTATCCTCCTAACACAGACCTTGGGACTGTGCCTAACGTTGTCTAGATGCTACGGGGATGAAGCTTATTTTGGATCCATGGTAGGCAATAGGCATGTGTTAACTCCACATGTTAGTGCAGTGCTTTAATTTCTGATGGTTCCAAAGACCTTCCAAGTTGGTGGCATTACAGATCATGACCGAGACTCATTGTGTGAACTGAACCCAATTTGGTAGTAATGTTGAACTGTGGAGAAATTCCTCATTGACCAATCATGTGCCGAGATTATAGGGGTGTGGACTCCGCAATTCAAGTCGTTCGCAATCATGTTCTTTGTGTAAGGATTCTTCCTTAGCTGTCTCTTTTAGACTTAGTTGGCAGAATCCTTCTTTTGACCCGAGAGCTGGCTTATGGCATTGGTGGTGGTCAAGATTTCTCACAGCATATTCTGTCTCTCCAGTCCTTTTCGTGCACTTTTTCTTTGAGAAGAAAGGAGCTTTGGCGAGCCATTACAGGCGTAATTGGGTGTTTCCTCTTCCTGCTCTTTTCCTCTCCGCACACAAAAATAAATAGATAAATAGGAAGACATAATCATAACATCTAAAAGAGGACCTTATCACATCTATAATTAAGTTTTTACAAGAAAAGGAATGGAAAGGAAAAGAAATTCCGATAAACATCTAAACATCCTGTGGTCATCCACTCCATAAGGTACTTGATCACTTTGGATTGCTGCATCCATTTCTTTCCGTATGGTTGGCAATGCAAGTGATCCTTGATCTACTTCCAAACAGTGTTGTACTATATTGATGCCATAGTCCACAGTCGCAATCCAAGAAAAATTAGGTGCCTAAATCACGACATGTTCGATCAAAAGAATCGACTATAGCTTTGTCATTGTGCTCGTGAATATGAAATCGGTCACGCATCGTCTAACCAAACAGAATCTAAGTAAAACACGTTGATCCTCCACAAAAATGTTACAGACAAAATTAATAGACTACCTACAATTATCAACGGCAATGAAGCCCGGGCATATCAAGCCCCATCTCGATCCTTTATCCCTTGGAGAGAGATGATCATCCTACTAGAGCATCGCATATCTTCTAAAGTAACGAGCGCTGATAACCATCATCAGAGTCGCAAAATCTCCACGCATTTGCATGAGAACCCCTCTAATCTAGGAGAGCACGCAAGCACCATACAGCATAACCAGAACAGAATTCCATTGTTGTTGCCTCGATTCATCAAGAGGAGGTACATTTGTTGTGTTGGTTTTCGCGACAATCATGGCGACTAAGAAACTTGATTATACATGGGTAGATCTGCTGCACGGCCTGCCCAAGAGCCATGACGCACTAGCATCAGATGACAAAATGGAATGATCTAAGAGTCCGTTGAACATGAAAAGCAAGAGCCATACCATTCGTCCCCCCACCAAATCATAATGAGCATAATGAGGCCCTTCAGGTCCCCCAAAAACTTTGTAAGTCACCAGATTATCAGGAATAAGCTTCACAGTTTCTGTACAACCAGGTCAAACGAGTAAGAACAATTTTTTTACTGTCCAAAAGAACTTTTGGCATGATTCCTAATTAGACGTACCCTCAACAGCTTCAGGTGGACAGATTAGATCTCTATTCCCTGCAATCGCCAAGATAGGCACATTGCTTTCGTGCAAACGATCCTTGTAAAAGAATCTGCCACTACGGTCAGATAACCCTCCTTCCTTGAAAGCCGTCGTCAGCTGCAGTATGAGTTTAGCAGGTATAGTGCCTGCAAATCCCAGGACAAAAATCGAGTGAAATCACTCACGTGGCACAAGAACACTCAGCTGATGGTATAATACAGCAAGATGCAATATTATATCCACTGACAGTCTATGTACAATATCAACTATTTCGCACATCCAAAGATACAGAACAGTTTTCTGAAGGCTACAAAGGGAAGAGACAATTTGCGGGTGGATGGCAGAAATGCAGAAAGTTGTCAAGGTTCTAGCATATTGCAGTCAAGAATTTGTGCACACCACTAGGATCAAAGAGATGGAAAACAATTTTGTGACAGTTGTTCTGGAAGTAACGAGTAAAGCGGACAATAAAAATGCAGAAATTTGCAGGTGCATTCTAAAATTTGTCCTCATACTGTGCATTCGACATCTTGTGAATCACTAGAATCCCAAAATACATACTCCACTTAATCTTTCCAAGGAAGCCAAATCTTTTTCTCCCCCACTCTTTGGCCAGTTCCAAGGGTGCCAAATCTAGATGCCAACATAACTAGACAAATTGGAGTTTTGATGCCTATGGCCGAAGCTGCAGGCAACTTCCATGAAAAGCACATGTTATCTATCTCCCATCGCAAGGCAGATGCATTTAACTTACAAAAGTTGTTCAGGACGAGCTTTTCCAACAATTCTGGATGCATCATGTCCTCTGCTGATATCAGATGATTTAACCAAGACAATACATAGGGAGGGCGTGATGAAAGAGGATAAGCAGCCGATAACATCGCCCCCAGAGGAACGACAGGAACATTAAGAGCCTGTGCAGGATCTGCCTGCTTGACAAGAACCATGGCATTAAATTTTCGGCACAGACGATAACAAAACTTAGCCGTAAAAATCAATTCCAACGAAAAAGGCATCCATCGCACTTCCACTTACGAGGGGTAAAAGCAACTTGAGTGTTGATTTTGAAGGTGTGTAGTCAAGTGATGATGCCAAAGTAGCAACAGCTGCTAAGTTTGGGTCCTTTCCTTCAAAACCTTGTCAGGTAAAATACAAACGGTCAAAATATAAGATGCTACCACAACTATCTGAAAGTCTTAGACCAGTTCATGACAATGATCAGCCTTACAAATTTAAAACAGTCAAAAAGAGGATTTGAAAATGACAATCGGTGCCATTTTTAATCACCGCATAGAGATGATGGAACAAAATACTGACGAACAAGCGGTGAAGAAGATACCAATTTTTAGGCCCAGGAAGATCACTTCCATGTGAATAAGTTAGGGGTAACACATACTATCCGAAGCGAAGACTTTAGTGTAAAGCGAGGATATATACTATATACTATCATCCACCTAACTTACTTGAAACAAAAAAAACTGAAGAAAACATCACAACTGATTAAACCTGACAAGATCTTAAAAACTAGCAATAATTGCTTCGCAACAAAGTCTGTCGCAAAAGGTAAACATTTAAACAATTAAAGAAATAAATGGAAAACAATTACGAGATATTAATAAGACATGAAAAGCGGAAGAGATGTTAATGCTCTCTACGATACAGAGAAAAGCTCAATTGTGCGAAGAGGTAAGACAGAATCTCACCACATCGAGATAGCATAGCATAAAGCAAGATTCCTCCCATGGAATGTCCGATTGCCAGCAGTTTACCATCCTCCGGTTTGCTTATTGCTCTTATATATTCCATCTAAACCAATGAATGAATAAATTTTAATGTCAATTCCTGGTGCCAGGACTGAAAAAACACCGTAGTTATACCAGAAATTAGAAGAAAGCAACACAAGGTAAAATAAGAAAACAAAACACAAATAGCGTATGAATATACACAGTGTATATGTCACCTCACCGCAGCAGGCACATCCTCTTCAAGGTAATGATCAAAATCCCAGTCATACTTCACGATCAAATCAAGCTGCTTCTGAAAATCTTCAATAGTGGAAGAGAAACGTTCTTGTATATTAAAAAGTGGAGGTGAAACGGATCGTTGACCTTCTTCAATAATATTTACAAGTCGTTCACTTAAGTCTCTAATTTGATTAGCAATCCCAGAGTTTTGCCTCGATTCCAACAAGCCTGAAAGAGTCGCCCTTATCTCATTGTAGCGCTCTGATAACTGTGAATCCTCCACAAGTTTGGATATCTGATCAAAGAACCTAGCAGACATAATTCTGGATTGACCTTCGCTAAGAAAACCAGAAAGCCTTTCTGACAAACGCATGAAAGTCTCTGTTAACTTTGACACCAGCTTAGATTCATCCCATGCTGTTGCCAGAACTGCAGGATCTCCCTTAGCAGCAGGAACTTCGGAGTCCAGATAGACACTGGTACTGTTCGTTGCATCCTGTTGCTCAGGAAGAGCTCCATTCATCACACCTTTTGCAGCAGCTTCCATTTGCTTCGACATTTTATTTGCAGATTGTTCAATTCCTTCGGGAGTTGATCCCTGTGCGCTCAATCCAGCACCTCTGACTTCCAGAATCCAGGTGTCAAATCCTTCCCCCGACATGTACCGTGCAAATGAAGACTGTAAAAATTTAAATCAGTCATCAAATCACAAGTATAAACTTTTCAGATTAAACTACAGTCCTAAGATTGTGCAATTAGTTCCTGGCCCGTTGATCCTGCGAATTACAGTTACAGGACCCCCATGTTCGGTGCCAACAGAGATTCATACAAATCGAGCAAGAACCTTCTAAATGACGAAACTCCAAATTAAACCTAACGAACTAAACTAAATTGAAGTATTGACTCGAGCTGAGCACTTCCAGAAGCATATCTAAGACAGAAAACATAGGCTCATTAGCCGCCAGACCAGAGACCCTTTACCCTGTGAATGGCTGCAAAGTCGCCAAAACACGGACCAATTGACACTTTTTCCCATTGCAAAAAGAAAAGAAACTACAGATTATGAGCGCACCATGCAGGAAGACCTCACCAAAAATCCGAGGAGAAGACACTGAGACATCAAGATATCAATTCGGCAACTCCAGCATTCCTCTAAGTAACAACTAGAAACATAGCAAAAGCTGAAACAAGCTTCAGACGATCTTATTCGATAATGCCGGTGGTTTCACAAAGAGAGAGACCACATGATCATTCGTCACGCGCGTTACGTCCACAATTGGCCGATACATACAACAAGTCCTTAAGATAAACTAGGCACAAATGCCAAAAGTCAAACGCGGCGCAACACAGAATCATTCAAGAACTTCACAAAGACCATCGAGAATCGCGACAATTTTATTTAAAGAAAGAAAATGAAGAACATACACCAGGGGAGAGATCGTAACCAATGGCGTTGGTTCCAACTCCGGACAGCAACAGCAGAGGATGATTCCTGACAGGAGCCTGTCGAGCAACCATGCCCAATCAAAACTAGTATAAAACGAATCATAGCAAGGACGAACCGCCGCCGCCCCCCAAAAAGTGCGGACAAAGAAACGGAACCTGAGGAGGCGGATGGTAGCGCCAGAGGGCGAGGCGCCAGTCGCTGTTGCCGACGGAGACGTAGTGGAGCTCGTCGGCGGTGCAGACCGACGGCTTCTCGGGGGCCCTCAGGACGGCGTCGGCGGCCTCCTTGGTGGAGCAGAAGGCCCGCAGCCTCAGCGACGGGCTCGCCGCGGCGGGGGCCCGGCGCGCCGCTGTAGCGGCGGCGGCGGCGGCGGCGGAGGCGGCGCCGGAGAGGGCGAGGGAAGGGGCGATGGAGCGGACGGCGGAGGAGGCCACGTGGAGGGCCGAGCGGACGTCGTGCTGGATCGTCGCCATCGATCGAACGGAACCCTCTCTCGCGGGATTCGGGGAGCCGCCGACGTTTGGGGGAATCGGAAAAACCGGTCGTCGGCGAAGCTTTGAATTTGCCAGAAGCTCGAACAAGAAAAGGAGGGCGAAGAAACAAGAAGAAGAAAGAAGGAGGAGGAGGAAAAGGATCTTGAGTGCGCTAGTAACGTGGCAGTATCGGCAGGCCGGAGATCCTTCCCTGTCCAGACTCCATTGTTATGAGCTGAAGGAGGAAGGAGCAAGGCCCATTGCTTTCAGAAAAGCCCAACAAGACGACGGCCCGCCCCCGTCGTCTTCTTCGTCTTCCTCTTCCTCGCCAAAACCCCTCCTCCCTCCTTTCTTGAGCTCGTCAAAAGGTTCGGAGGTTTTTGCAGCTCTGCGCTTCTTCGACTCCGACTCTTCTGTTTCCTCCCGCGTGCGCCGTAATCGACGGAATGTCCGGTCCAGCTCGTGAGGTCGGCGTGCGCCGGGCTTTCGTCGGGGCCGGATGCAACCGGATCGTGAACAACGTCTCGTGGGGCGCCTGCGGCCTGGTGGCGTTCGGCGCCCAGAACGCCGTCGCCGTCTTCTGTCCCGAGGTGCTTCCGAGGCTCCTTTATCGAATCGAGTGATCGTTTTTTCTTGGTTGCTTTTTGGCTGACAATCATTAGTATTGTCGCAGGCTGCTCAGATTCTGACTACGCTCCCGGGTCACAAGGCGTCCGTGAACTGCACCTTCTGGCTTCCGAATAGCAAATTTGCATTCAAAGGTAAGGGCTTTTCTTTCGTTTGTGTTCTTAGCTCGACCGCAATTCATCGGACAATTTGGTCGATTGTTTTTCCTAATATCAGCTAACTGTTTCTTCTTGGACTATGTTTTCCTTCTCAGTAGCTATATTCGAGATTGGTATCCATTAGGATAATCATCACCCAATCAGTATTCTTTAAAGTTTAGCATTTTACTGTATAACTGAGGCTAAACATCAAGAGGAGGTGTTCTTTTTTTTATTTATGAATCTCTCTAAATTTATGCAATAGCCCAACTTGTTTCTGAACGTTACATTGATCTGGTGGTATTTCTTCTATCTTAATGGGATTTTAATGAATTTTATGTCCTTTGAACAGCTAACCATTTGGAGCATCATTATCTGTTGTCTGGAGATGCTGATGGTGCCACAATACTATGGGAATACTCTCTCCTTGACCGCAAGGTACATCTCGGGCTAGTGGAGTACATCTCAAAGAAGCTTACCCTCTTTCTTGCTTTCTTTTATTTCATTGCATTTATTCTGAACCTAGTTCCTTATTTCTGGTAAATGAGGGTCAATGATGTGGTACTCAAAGTTCTCTAACCTCTAAAAAGATCTAGTGACAAATGTTCTTAGAAATGCTAAAATACAGTGCATCTTTTATTCTCAGTGGACGCATATTATGCAACTACCACAGTCGCACAAGAAGGGAGTCACATGCATTACCGGAGTCATCATTTCTCCAACTGATGGTCTTGTTGCATCAACTTCATCAGATGGTACTGTTAATATCTGGGAAGTGGCTTTCCCATCCACCAGCGGAGGTGAGCAGCTCTTATTAACTACAGTGTTTTTCCATCGACGTATTTTACTCTATTTATTTGCCATCTGTTGCTTTTCGCTTTTCAATGGTAGTTGTTCCAGCAGGGATATTCTATCTTGGCTATTACATTATGGTTATTTCTCATTATCACTATATGATTTCAGGATTTTTTTGTTCTTCGTCCACATAATTTGGAAACTCCTGCTTAGGCTATGCATAATAAAGCGGAAGCTCTCAATCAGGGCTAATCACCATAGAAGATACCGACAATATTAAAATTTGATTACAAGTTAAAAGCTTTGCTTGTTTTAACAGAAGGTATTTTACACTCCTATTATCTTTAGGTATTTAACTCAACCTGTGAAAACTGGGGGAAAAAGCTTGTAGGCAACAGAGATTTTAGCTTTTGGGAAAAAACGAAGGAGAACCTAGCCTGGTAAGAGTACTGCAATGTTAGCAGTCATAGGGATATGAAGATTCAATCTCGTAATTGTGAATAGATATAATCTTATGATCATTGTAATTCTGATTGTTAACCATCATTGATCTCCAATTTATATGCCAAACTTCTTGGTTGTTGTAGGAAAATGCAATTTCACACTTCTGGAATCCATATTTGTGGGTTTAAAACCAATGGTAGCACTCTCATTAGCAGAGTTGCCAGGAGATGCTGGGAAGATTGTCCTGGCCATGGGAGGATTGGACAATAAAGTTCATCTGTACTGCGGTGAGAGGTCAGGAAAGGTATTAAACTTTGGTTTCATCAGTTTAGATTAATTCATGCATCTTTACCTGCTTCACGTTGAAGTTCTTCTCTGACGGTTTGTTTGTTTCTGGCAGTTTGTTCAAACCTGTGAGCTGAAAGGCCATACAGACTGGATCCGAAGCTTGGACTTTTCATTACCTATAGTTACTGATGGTGAACCAGATAGTATCTTACTTGTAAGTTCATCCCAGGATAAAGGCATACGCATATGGAAGATGACCGATCGTAATTCTCCTGCCAGTACAAAGGGCACATACAAGAAAGAAGAAATGAGCCTGGCTTCTTATATTGAAGGTCCTCTGCTTATTTCTGGCTCGTGCTGTTATCAGATATCTCTTGAATCTCTTCTCATTGGACATGAGGATTGGGTCTATTCTGTGGGGTGGCAGCCACCTCTAGTCTCCTCTACAATGGCGACCACGTATCATCAGCCCCTAAGTATATTGTCTGCATCTATGGACAAGACAATGATGATTTGGAAACCTGAAAAGACTACCGGTATCTGGATGAATGTGGTCTCAGTAGGGGAACTAAGTCACTGTGCTTTGGGTTTCTATGGTGGCCATTGGTCACCAGATGGAGATTCAATCTTGGCACATGGATATGGTGGATCTTTTCATCTTTGGAGAAATGTTGGTTATGGATTTGACGATTGGCAACCACAACGGATTCCCTCTGGACACTTTGCAGCAGTGTCAGATATTTCATGGGCAAGGTGTGGTGAATATATTCTCTCTGTCAGTCATGACCAGGTGAGATGATGAAATTTTTTCTCAAGCTTGTCCTTTTGTTTCCATCATGTTCTGCTGCATGTTCATTTTTGTTTGAAGCATAGGTGTTGTCATGATATTTCAGATAGAGCTACTAGCAACTTACTCTATATGGTCAACAAGATGTGATTGTATCAAATAAAAGTACTATCCTGGGCACAGCTTGGTGGGATGAACACATATAAGAGATCAAAATCAATTTCATAGTAAGTTGAATAACCTTGCATGTTTAGAAACGGAGATTCTTCTAAGGCTTAGAGTTTAAGAGCTGCTTATGTGGGAGATAATGAATATTGAGCGGCATAAGGTTTTGTGGACATATGCATGATCTATTTGGCTTATCAAGGCCAATGGATGGGTGAGCAAAGACTGAAAAGCCCTCACCATGTGACAATGACTGTCTTGTAATTCTTCCACTGCAATGATATTCTTGCAAAGGGACAGGGATTGCTACATGCTTCGAAGTTGACCTCATAGGCACTGTTCCTTAAGTTTTTCCTATTGCAAAATCAAAAAAACTGACAAATTTTTCTTGATGCGCAGTTGAATCTGCAGAAAGTTTTCTCTTCTTAAAGTGAATTGTTCCATCCCAGTGGTGAAAATTATTATGCCATATTGCATTTCTTTGTGTACTTTTAGAATCTGATGCAAACTTTTAACATTTTCAGACAACACGAATTTTTGCACCCTGGAAAAATGAAGCTTCACTACAAAAGTTTGACCCTTGGCATGAAATTGCTCGACCTCAAGTTCACGGTCATGATATTAATTGTGTGGCCATCATTAAAGGAAAGGGCAACCATCGCTTTGTCAGTGGAGCTGATGAGAAGGTTTCAAGGGTGTTTGAAGCCCCTTTGTCTTTCCTTAAGACCCTGAATCATGCATCTCTACAGGCCATTAGTTTTGCTGAGGAAGATCAACTGGGTACTCAGGTTTTGGGTGCTAATATGTCTGCCCTTGGACTGTCACAGAAACCCATATATGTACAAGGTGAGTCTCTCTCTCTCTCGCTCTCTCTCTCTCTCTCTCTCTCTCTCTCTCTCTCTCTCTCTCAGATGTCTTTTCTTGAGTTTATGTGGATACTTTGACATTTGTTGTATGCTTGCTCTACGAATTCAGATGTCATTAGAGATCAATACATCTTTTATCATGGAGTTTTATTGGACATGAATTCAACATCTTTGGGATGGTAGAATTTATATCAGTTAAAAGGATGTATTGAAGTCTGGTACTTGATGCTGAAGCTATGATGAATCGGGATAATTATAGTATTGGTTATGTCTAAAAATTTCCTACTTGATTATCAAAACATTTAATTCCTATTCATGGGCAAAATATAGGATATGAAGTGTAATTACTTGGTGTAGGTAATAGGTCGGGATAAAATGTTACTAAATGAAGCATTTTCTGTTGTAGCTGCTAATGGGACACCGGAAAGAAACAGTGGTGATGGTTTCGACACCCTCGAAACCATCCCGGATGCAGTTCCGGTGGTTTTAACCGAACCCCCCGTTGAAGAGCAACTGGCTTGGCATACATTGTGGCCGGAGACGCACAAACTTTATGGTCATGGCAATGAGCTTTTCTCCTTGTGCTGTGACCATGAGGGAAAGCTTGTTGCTTCATCCTGTAAGGTATAAATGGTTGCTAGCATGTAAACTTGTAGCTTTCATCATTGAAGTTATACTTAAGTTAATATACATATTCTAGGAGTGTTAAACATTAAAATTGCTGAGTTGAAGATTCTGTGGTTTATTTTGCATGGAATAGTAAAGTGCCCTAATTGCCGGACAGTATTAAATTTGTTATTTCAGTGGAGTTATAGGAATCATATGCGCAATCTTCAGAAGTTTTCTTTTCCCATATTTTAGTGTTCTTGTCAAATTTGTCAGCCCACAACTTGATGCTCCATTTCAATAGTTGTTAGCTGTCTCTAAACTTCAAAATCTTGTATTTCATTATTGTAGGCACAGTCAGCACCAGTGGCTGAAATATGGCTATGGCAAGTGGGCTCCTGGAAGGCAGTAGGTCGCCTTCATTCTCACAGCTTAACGGTGACGCAAATGGAGTTCTCTCATGATAACAAAATGCTATTAGCTGTTTCAAGGGACAGACAATTCTCTGTTTTCTCCATTGATAGAAGAGGTATAGTTATACATCCTTCTTTTGCCAAAAAAATGCATTCTAAAAACATATTGTACGTTAGTTTCTTGGAGCTGCACAACGTGCACAGCCATTCTAGTTCAGGAGTCTGATAAGTCAAAAAGCAAGGTCATTACAACACCAAGATGGAAAACTACAGTGATTTAACAAATTCGCAATCTGGATATTTTCCAATCTTCACTAGTTTGTTTGAACATGCTTTCATTTTCCTAAAGGTGTGTTTAATAGGCTTCGTCTGTCGGAATGTGTCTAGAACCTGTAATGAAAAGAGGCATCAGTTGGCATTTGTATCTTGGAAATTGATAGAACTCCTCCCATGATTTGGTCATATTAGTAACACCTAAAACAATTTTTCTTACAATACTTAATCATCATGCCATTATCGTAAGGGTACTAATTTGGACTCCTTGATTTTAGAGATTGGATTATTGCCCCCACCTTTGTCTGTTTCAGAGTAACAATCTTAAGACTGACAGAATAGTTTCTCGTTGGCAAATGTTTGTTTCCTGATTCTTTCTTGTCATATGTAGGCTCAGATGAAGTCAGTTATCATCTGTTAGCAAGACAAGAGGCACACAAAAGAATAATATGGACGTGTTCATGGAACCCATTTGGTCATGAGTTTGCAACAGGTTCGCGGGACAAGACAGTCAAGATCTGGGCTGTAGTGGCCGAATCTACAGTCAAACATGTCACAAGCTTACCGCAGTTTGGCAGCAGTGTCACTGCCTTATCTTGGCTTGGTCTTGACCGTCTAAAAAATGTGGGATTGTTAGCAGTAGGAATGGAAAATGGACTGATCGAGCTATGGAATCTATCAGCCAAAAGAGGTGAAGTTACCGAAATTCCTGTGGTAACTGTCTCTCTTGCTGTTAGGCTTGACCCGTTGATGTGCCATGTTTCTTCTGTGAACCGTTTGGCATGGCGGGATTCGGAGAAGAGTGCGGATTGCAGGAGCATGCAGCTAGCTTCGTGCGGAGCCGATCATTGCGTGAGGATCTTTGAAGTAGATGTAGATTGATGGTTAGTCGGTTTTGTATCTGCACAAATTTTGAAGCGAAAGTGTCCTATACATATTTCTTTGGTTACTTTCTTAATCAAAGTATCCAACAGCAAATTACGAGTGAACTACTAACAGGGCCAGGTAAGTTCAGATACACTGGAATTTTTAGAGTACGTTATTATCAATGCAACGCCAAAGGTGCCTGACAGTATACTCTTCCAGAAAAATTTGAGATGGCAGCTAAAATCAAGCTAGGGACTAAGAAACGCCGCTGTGTGGTTCAGCTCAATATAAGTTCCTTGCTGTAGAGTGAGATGATTCAAGAAACATATATATACCGACCATAATTCAAGCAATCTGCAGGAACATAGATAACCAGCACAGCGCATCCTTTCTTTCTCTCGTAGTCACGAGTCTTCAGAAACTGAACTGAATCGATTTTAATAGGGTCAAGTTGCTTCAACCGCATCGGGTGAGCTTGCTTTGGTTACCAAGCACTTCAGGGACATTCGAGCAGGACATAAAGCACGGGTCACTCTGTTCCATCAAGCAAAGAAATTTTATGGTAGCGCGCAAAGTAGTCCCAAAAAGCCTGATCTTATGGTATCTGTAGCCGCTTACAGAAGCGACTAACCACTTCCTCCATAAGAAGTGAGTGCAAGGAATAGGAGATATAACAGTGGTTTCTTTAGGCGGAGACAAGGACAGGTTGAGAAAGAAGAGAATACATGCCAAATCACCAGAATAACTCACAAATGACCTTTTATGGCCTCATAGACGATCCCTCAGGCCAATCTCCAATAGGCAGTGTCCTGCTCACCAGCGCAGGCATCATCATCTCTTGAGACTCCATTCATCATGATTGCCGGAAAGGCCAATTTGCTGGAATACTACGATTCCAGCAACAAGATAAACTCGTCCAATATTGCATATAACATAATGTTACACAGGTCACAGAAGAATTATTTGCCAACTGTGAAATTTATATTCCAAAGGGAATTGAGAGAAGCAGCATGACTGCAAGTTCAAGCATTTACATCCCGATAACTTAGACCACTTTTGTTTCTTGACTGACAACAATATATCACACGAAAGAAAAGTATTGAGCTGAGGTTCTTATTTTCCCGTCCCAGTTACATACCACAAACCAATCACGGTAACAAGACAGACACACGCTAGAAAAAAATCAAAACAAAAATGAAAAGGTATACTGATCCCATTCTTCCAAAACTGTTTCTTCTCTCTGAACTGATTTTTATAACGGCTGTTATGTCCTCATCTGCTGCTTCATGCTGTCACCAGAATGTTGACCCGAAGCTTCAGGCAGCCCAACGGCATTCGCTGCGGTCATGGTTTGGTACTGAGAAGGTAATGACGGTGCTAAGTGCTGAGCATAGTAGATCTGCCCGGGAGCTTGATTCGCAAATTCATAACCATAAGTAGCTGGGGCACCGGAAGAGGGAGCAACTGACTGAGATGGATGATGGACCTGCGAGTAACCAACATACTGTTGTTGATGCTGACCTGCAGGTACTTGAACCAGAGGTGAAGCAGATGCTGAAGCCATTCTGTATACACTTGAAGCCAAATCGGTTTTAACGCCAGGAGGGTTTCGTATGGGGTTAGTATAAGCTGCTGACTGAGGAAGCACAGCAGAGTTTGGAGTTGCTTGGGGGCGGTTAGAAGGATTTGCTGTAGCAGCCTCATTTGGATTGTTTTGTTGTGCTGATAGATTATAGGCTTGGGGTTGGCTCACAGGCATATAGTACACTGGGTAGTGCTGATCAATCTGATGATGCTGGACCTGATGTTGTTGGGACGGATACACAGTGTAGTAGGCCGCGACGGGCATTGAGCCTTGGGGATGGTGCTGAATGTAATGTGAGCCAGCTTGCACAAACTGCTGCTGTGGTTGTTGATGTTGCTGTGGTTGTCGTTGGTCAATCTGAGATTGCAATACATACCTAGCATCCTGCATATGCTGTTGTAGCTGGACTCCAGTGCTTTGCTCAGAGATATTAAAGTTTGGATCCATTGCATTGGTCGGACCACGATTGATCCCCAAGGACATCTGTACAGCTTGGTCTTGATATATTACAGGTTTTGGACGAGCTAGCGGGTTCGTCAAGCTACCATCACTATAAGATGGAAAATGCAGCTCAAAACCTCAACCAACACATATGTAGATGGAACAAAGCAACAACGATCAAGACCAATTTTATGCACAGAAAGTAGATGTTTTCAGGTATTTTCAAAATTAAATAGATGTTGAGCATTAACTCGCTTTGGAATTCCAAAAGGCTAAAGATGCGATAAAGAGCAGACAGGAAGAGACAGGAAGGTCCCTTCCTCAACTGTGGAAACAAATCTTGGCACCTGGGTTATAATTTATTCAAAGCTATGTTAGCAGTTCATCTAAATCATCCCTATCAGCTGAGGAAATAGGAAACCAAAACATTGTACCCTTGACGAACAGTGAGGGCGTGATTGCCCTTTTGGAGTCACAGTCTTCATGATGGGTTTCTAACGTGTTTTCAAATCTTTGAAGCTCACTCAATGGAAAGAAATGGCACGCTCTTGCTACTTTTTGGGCTGATGGCGCTGAAAGTATATGAAGATAAAAGAACATGTGTTGGACAGAAGTACTTCTAACAACACTGGGAGAAATCCCCTCTCTTTCCTCTCCTTCTCTTTAAAACCATGACAAGAAAATCATAAATCATTCTAAGAACCAGCAATCCCCTTTAATACAAAGTCAGCAGCACACCTACGCAAATAGAGCTTTGGTAACTTGGCAGGGGAGGAAGAAGTATGGGGCTAAAGGGCAACCTGCAACAGATACTTTACGCCCACATGCTATGATAGAATCAGCAGTCAATAATTTCGCGTAGCCTTTACCTACACTGATTAGCTTATATCAAATCGAGTAGGAGTAATTCACACAATTGTTACTCAATATCCGACTGACCCCATATGACCCTTATATTTTTAGCAGTGAAATTTTCAATTCCATTTCCACCACACTTTACAAGGCGTATGAGGTCATCTTATTAGATTCTGGCGTCCTTGATGCACATGACCGGAACAGTAATTTCACATGTCTAACACCTGCGATCTTCAAGATCTCACGAAAGCCTTATGCGCACTAGAAGGTCTACTTTCGCAGTTTCCCTTCTATAAGGTGCCATACGCTAACCACAGATTCTGCTGTATACTTATGATAAACCTATGGTTTGGCAACTACGACCTGCCGAAAATGACAATCAAAACCATATAAGATTTCATATACATTAATCGTTCCAGGTCATCTACTTGAGGAGTTCCCCAAATCTTGACAAATCCATTGTATAATATCGGATAAAGTATGCACACAGAGGCCACTTCAGCATTAATGACAGAACAAAGCAATCGGTACCTCGAAACTGAATCTGGGGAAGGCAAATCAAAAACTCCACTAGGCTTTGGCTGTGACTGGGGAGGCTGAGGCTGTTGCTGAGCCAGAGGCAATTTCCGAAGCCCTAAAGGAACACCGTGGTCCGATCTCTCATCATCGGAATATACCCGATTGGAATAATCTCCCGGAGGAACAACCGCCGCGGAGCCCACATGAACGCCTGTCACCGCAGCCGCCGCCGGCACCGTGGGTGGCGAGGAAATCATGCCAAGGCCATCATCTGGCTTCGGCACAACACCAGTGCCTATAACCATCTGAGCAAACTGTTCCTCAATCCCCAATTTCTGATCCAGCATAACCCTAACCCCTCCACCTCCGCCGCCGCCGCCGCTGCCGCCGCCCATGACATTTTCCTCCACCTGAACACGGATCGAAGGCAAGTTGGCAATCGATGGCGAGGACGAAGTCGATCCGAACGACGACGTCGTCTCCAGCATCGGCGAATCGGGCACGGAGTGCACATCCTGCGCCTGCTTCACACTCTTCTCGTTGCCGAGCGACGAAGAACCGTCCGCATCTCGAGAGCTGGTCTCGCCGTTGTTGATCCCCACTTCATCGTCCAAGTTCATGAGACAATTGGCCGGAGCCGAGTCGGAGAACGCCCTGCCGAGCAGGCCGGCCGTGTTGAGGGCGCTGAGGAACCAATCGTCCGATTTGGTGGAGGACTCGAGGATCGGGCCGATCGACTGCGAGGAATCGGGCTTGGAAGGGAAGAGGAAGAGCCTCAGCCGGGAGGGCTTCGCGGCGGCGGCGGCGGAGGAATTGACCATGGTGCGGTCGTACTCGTCGATCATGTTCTCGAGGTCCTCGTCGGTGGAGACGGTGATGAGGGAGTCGAGGTCCTCGCTCGGGAGCTGGTACTTGAGCGTGAAGGGCCGGTTGTTCAGCAACGTCTTGGAGAGGTGGGCCGAGAGGGAGGAGAGGGAGGCCGCGTTGCGGTCGACGACGACCATGCGGGTGTCGCCGCCGACGTAGCAGAGCGACTTGTCGTGCGGTCGCGGCACGATGTGTCCGCCGTAGCTGCACATCAGCCGGAGCTTCGGGGGGAGCGGGTCCGCCGCGGCGGAGGACGGTGGATCCCAGGATTCGGTGGCGGCGCGCGAGCGCGGGGACGAGTCCACCGAGTCCGGGTAGCTGTGGTGGGACGGCGGCGCGGCGGCCGCGGCTGCGAGGGAGGGCGCCGTGGCGGCGGCGGCGGCGGCGGCGGCGGAGAGCGCGGGGGCCGGCGGCTCCATGGCGGCGGAGACGGTTGTCCTCCGGGAGGAGAGAGAGAGGGGGGCAGGGGGGGGCGGAAGGGAGGAGAGAGAAAGCGAGCGGGGGTCGGAGAGAGAGAGAGAGAGAGAGAACGAGGACTCGAGGAGGCTTTAGTGCACCTGTCTTATAGATACTCCCAGTCTCCACCACCTGGTGCTGGTGTATTACGGCTGTTCATGTCAGACAATATTATTATTTTATTATTATTTTAATTATTTCCCTATTTTTCTCCTTTTCTTATTATTAACTATTTTCTTTCTTTTCTATTAAGCAAAAGGTAAGCTTTCGACCCCAAAAAAACAAAAACAAAAGGCGAGCAGTAGCACCACCGGAGGATGATTTGGCCCAAGGAGAGAGAGAAGAAAAAAGCAATGAAGAAAAAAAATCAGAAATGGTAATAATTATTATCCATCCTTTTTTAATTGTCGTATTATGGCCAACGCTGGCGTGCGAAAGCACGGGGAGAGCGAACGGGATTGAAGACCCCCGGTAGCCCGTAACGACGTGAAAAGGAAAGTGTCTATCTACCGAACGATAATCGCATTTCGCCCGGTCATATTCCATATCGAAAGTTCGTGTAATCTATTCTCAGAAGACAAAACCTCCCCTCGATCAAGCTCCGTTTATTGACAACCTGATGCTTTCTTTCCTACAATAATCAACAATATAAGAGCGGCCTAATCACGAAAAGATAGAAACTTAAAGGGTTAATACCATAAAAAATTCCAAACCGGTATACTCGTGATAAATTTATCCCAAAACTAATTTTTTGACCGCCAAAATCCCCAAACTGGTACACCAGTGATAAATTTACCCTCATTTAGTTTCCATTAAATTTTACCGTCGAATTGTCCAGTTGAATGTCACGTGACAGTTGATGGGTGTACCGGTTTAGAGTTTTACCCCTCTGTTCGTCACAGGTTTAACAGTTTGTGTTTTTTTGGTCATAAGTACACCAGTTCGGGAGTTTTGGTGATCAAAAAATTAGTTTGTGGTAAATTCGTCACAGATATATCAATTTAAGGTTTTTTTATAATTAAAAAATTAATTTTTGGATAAATTTATCACGGACGTACTAATTTGAAATTTTCAAATTATCCCTATCAGCAAAATATATTCGAAATGTCTCGCAAAATGCGGAGCTCCACAAATACGCTCCAAGTCCCATTTTCAGGGTTTTCACTTGCGTGCTAGAAAGATCAGATTCGTCCAACTTTTACGAATTTCTTTTTTATTATTTTTCTTTAGGGGCGGGGGCCGTAGTACCAAAACGCAGTTTTCCTCGAATAAACACTTTTTTTTAATTTCTGAGTTTCGCAAACACAATTCAGGCGGGCCACGTGTACGTGACGCGGCACAAAGGACTTGTGCCCGCGTGTACTAATTACAACCCGAGCCTGAGCAAATGTGAAGTTACTGTTGGGGCCAAAAAACAGGGGAGGGGTGGGGAAGGAGGCCCCCGGGCAGGCAGCGCAAGTGGGACATAAAATCTAAATTCTAAAGAGCCGTGCGTACGGTCCGATGGTGGTGACAGCTCGTTTTCACTAATCGGCTCCAGCCGGGCCCCGAGAAATTACCAAAATAATCTCCCGAGGCACTCGTCGAATTCACATGTACCATTGGAAGGGGCGAGCCTACGCGAGCCTCGCCCGATCTAACGGCGGATGCGAGCCGAGGTCACGTGGGACCGGGGGCGGGGGCGATGATTGCTCGAGAGACCGTGGTGCGCTCTCCTCGTCGGTAAATTCTTCGACGGTCCTGATCTACTCAAGTGCGCCCGATAATTGATAGTTGATAGTCGAAGGGTAGTCGGTTTTTTTTTATCTATCATATCTCTAACTTTCTTCGCTTTCTGACTTTTGCTCTGTCATTTACAGAGCACTAGAGTCGAATCACGCACCTGTGATACTAGCGTTTCCATCTCCTAAACTTTTTTTCAGTAGCATAGCATGTTGAAAGTTGATTTTTTATTTTTGAAAATTCAATACCGTAGATAATTTAATTTTTCCCTCGCTTAGTTTTTTTACTTTTTTCGAGATTTTTTTTTTTGTATATCCTGTGTAATGGGTGTCGGAGGTATCTGATTCTCTGCCACTTGGCCACAAATGGGTTCGTTGATAGTCGCTTTGTCTGCTAATAAGGTTTTACTTTATTCCACGTCGTCTAATGAGCGCCGCCAGCCAAATTGTACAAAAAAGTTGTCTAAAGATGACGTGGGGATCTTCTGGGGCTCACGCGGCTTTGCACTTTGGCTTTCGAGCCGAAAATTACAAAAATGAAATTTCTACGTCCACAAAAATATTTAAGTGTAAAGTTATTATTCGTGATGAAAATATTTTTTATTGAATAATTATTCTAAATAATATTTAGGAAATCATGTTTCAAATTATTTATTTTTCGCAGAGATAATAATAATTGATTACTAGGTTCCTGGTCTATGAGTTGAGTCAAATCTAAATATGAGGTTGAGGTGCTGAGAACAATTGTGGCGAAATGAGCTTTAGAGCGAAGATACCATTCAAATATAACACTCTTCGTTTGTTTCGCGAAAAATGAATGATTTAAAAAATATTTTCGTAAAAATGATCGTTTATATTGCTTACAAAAATGAATGAATGAGATTTTTTTTATCGTCCACGAATATATTTAGACATATATTACTGTCAACAGTGAAAATATTTGTTATTGGCTAATTATTTCATATGATACAAGTAATCATTTTTTGGAACATATTTTATAGAAAATTCATTTTCCGCGAAAGAAAGTAATGGTTTGATGCAAGAAGGAAATATGAAATTTAGATGTTGTCCGCTTAGGCTTGGAATATCAGTTGCTTGCAAGATTTATCAGGACAAAAAAATCTAAACTCTCCTCTCTATGTCGATCCCCTCTATTCATAACTTTCATCGCATGCATCAACAACCTCCGTTGACGACGCATATCGCTGTCGACAATGCCACCAATTGCCAAACACCGCCACAATCGAGGCCATCACGAGTCCCCGTGTGATCTCAATTCGAGGTCGCCATGGCTATTGAGATTGCCCACGGCCACAGTCCAGGGAAAATACCAACAAATAGTAAAAGCATCTGATATCCAATTGAAAACTAAGTACGCTTTTTTTCTTTTTATTCAGACAACACGGGACCCTTTTAATATTAAGCGATGGAAAAGAAAGGACCCACAGGAACTGTCGACAAATGAAAGCCGTGTACAAAAAGCATGTCATATTTTCCTCTTACCTCGGTCCAAAGAAAAGAGCGGGCCACAAGTTATAGACATCACGTACGTGCAAACTTGACCGAAATTAAATGTCGGCGATATCCATACCAATAACCCAGCGATCAGAAGTACGGCCATCGATGTATGCAGAATCGGGTACTTTCTCGAGCACGCGGGACAAATCGAAACTGCAGCGGAAAGCCGATGGCACCAAAGGCGTCACTAATTTTGAAAATCGGCCCGCGTGCGGCACGTTCCACCAAAGATGGCTGGCTTGCATCATCGCGAACACATGACGAGTCAAATTGCTTCGGCCAATGGTGGATTCCCCCAAATTCGAATTGAAAGGGAGGGATGCGCAGGCAGACGGCGCCAAAAAGGCAACGAGGTCGTCGTTCATCGAACGTGGCTTGTCGACGAAAACGACATCGGCTTTTTTTTCTGGCCAGAAATGAAAACGACGCGCCCTCGGAATACCGGACGGGGACGCCAACGTTCTCCAGACGTGAATTCGTTGAATGGTAGTAGAGCATGAAATTCATCTGACCAAGCCGATCGTGCATCGAAATTAGTCAACTCAATGTATATATTCTACAAAAAAAAAAATCATTTTATATATAGATTTATTTATATGTTTCTACATCAGGATTAGTCTGGTCTACCGCGACAATGATATCCCTGGCGCGATGTATATGTTTTTAGAAGGACTTGGTAAAATTGGCTATTCGGCCTCCTCAAGCTGTGCTCTCTCGATTAGAGAAAATTTGTCCAGTCAGTTCTAAACTTATTATATAGATGCTAATTTAGTTATGAACTTTTTTGTAATTTTACCAATTTAGTTATATTCCTTTGCACAAAACTCCAATGCGGTCCTTCTGACCAATTTCCGTTAGAGACCGCTGACGTTAGGGTGCGCCGCGTAGAACGTCCGGCGATGACCGGACCACCACGTCGGCAGTTTTCGGCGAAAATTGGCCAGAAAGATTATATTGAAATCTCGCGCGTGGGTTTTGGGATTAAAACGACGAAATTTGAAGAGTTTAGGACTGAATTAAAATCCGCACGATTAATTTAGGACTGACCGGGTAATTTTCTCCCTCAATTATGCCTCGTGGGCAAGAAGAGTCTCTTCTTCCGGGGGTACGACATATTTCTAAAGTTCTTAAAAGTAAAAAAAGGCGTTCGAAATCGAAACTTTGGGACAAAGATCTCGGTTGACGAAGAATTTCATCAAATTCTTTTTCTTCCCACTTTTGAATATGACACGATTGAGGATTTTTGGGCACATTAAAATTCGAATTGTGTTGTTCAAACTTCAAAGCTCCAGGGGGACTGAAGCTCGGGCGACGACGAGGAATATTATTAGCTCGTGTGCTCGATCCGGGTATTCTTCACCTTAGAAGCATAGATCCGGATTCTACATGCACCGAATATTTAAGGTAGGACCCAAAAAAAAAAAAAAAGAACAAGGAATTATCGAAATCGAATTGCACGAAATTTAAATAATTACACGAAATTATTGACCCCTCGATTAAAGTGAATCGCACACCAAAATAAGACGTCACGTCTTAATAGGATAGTCCTTTGCACGTCATTTTCTCCCACCATGCTCTATTCTTTTTTTATTTTTTTGTATCGAGTAGGCCCCCCTATCTAGTTAAAGACGCAACGCATTTGTTAATCTGAAAATCTTCCCGTGTGTCAAGTGAACCAACTGGTTTTCATAAATAAATAAAAAACAAATAAAAGTGAGTTTTTCATATTAAGTTGCTTT